AACCACCCCGGTACCCCCCGCCTTCCCTAGCAGGTCCTCCGAGCCAAGCATACTCAGACACTCACACAACCAGTCGATCACATGACACCCCCCCCCCCAAGACACTGCAACTGCATTAATACATGCCAGTTATCAAGGATTCACATTTTGAGCTTGTGATCAGGGGGATGCTGAAATAGTTATAGGTGTCATAAATCACATTTTTTTAAACTTCAAATGATCAATGAATGAATGGTTATAATTTGAGGACTCCCTGTAGTAAATAAAATAACTGCCATCTTTCCAAAGTCACCAGGGCTATTATCTATACTTTGCCTGTGTAGCCTGCCTGTTCAGCTGTACAAAAAGTTGCATTCCCCACAAGTTGCTCTAGATGACCCCACAGTTTGAGAAGTCCTGATGTACAATATCTTCTTGCAAAACAATCATCTCTGCATAAGTAACGTCTTGCTTTCCTTTGAGTCTTCTATTAATGTTCCTGAAGGAGGAATCAGATTCTACTGAGACTGATTTGAGATAGTTGGTGGATTATGGACTTGTTTTCTCCTTGACCCATCTAATGGAGTATAAGTCCTGAAAACAAAATCCCCCCACAAGGAAAAGTAGCAATATGAAATACAGCCCACAATTATGGGTTTGACTTTGTGGTAATTGGAAATCTTACTGTGTGGTAGTGATGAACATATTATTGATAAGGTTTATAAAATGAAGGCACTTTGGCCATAATTTGATGCTTGAGCAATGGGGAAATAATGTGAACGAAAGGTTTAAAATTCACATGAAACTATAATTTAAAAGAATGTTTTTATAAAACGATGTATCGCTAGTATTTAACATCAGATAGGTTATCTAGAATGAATAGAGGTATTTCAAATGAATGTTGGAAATGTAAAAGTAACTTCCGATTGAGCTTCCTGTGGAGTTGGAAGTGAGGAACGCGACCACCGTGATCCTGCTCTGAGCTCACCCTATCAGAAGGCTCAAATCCGAGCCGTAGTCCCCCTGGAAGGGTGATAAAGTAAAG